AGGTGGGTTTATATAGGTGATGAAAATTCATCCGTTGGAGGGAGATGAAATTTTCGAACCTTTTAACCGTTGGACAAGGACCGGGGAGCTTCATGCATTAAATGCTCCATTAATGAGGTTGTACCATGTAGCCGTTGAAGGTATGGAAAGCATTAGGGTTTTGTCCTTTAGCTCCAGGAGATGGTACATCTTCATTTAATGCTCCTTGAGAAGTGTGTCCCATAAGATGAAGTCCTTATAGTCCTAGGATGTTGTCAAGTCAGACAGGTAGAACATTCTTCTCGTTGTTGAAGAGAAGTAATGTTTGATAAAGATCGTCTTTTCACAAAACTGTCCTTTCGTGCTTGTTGACAACTCCTGCTTGACTCTCGTTGTTGTTCTTCATGTCTCGTGTCTTCTTTCGCCTTGGAGACCCTAACATCTAATCATAACTCATTTTCGTGTGTTTGTCTAGCTTAACACGAATTACAGAGGAGTTGTGGCAACTCTCGTCTAGGACGAAAGCAGCGATTGAAAAAGCTAATAGTTAGGGGTTTACTTTTCTACATTACATTGGTATCATCAAAATCCTAATGCAATGTTCAAATGTTTTGGTAATATAGTTAGTTTATTAGAGCATTTATAATAGAGGAGATATTTTGTGATTTTTGAGGAATTTTTGTAAATGTGATTAGGAAAGAAAATATAGAAAGGGGAGAAAAAATAAAACTGATTTAAAAAAAAAAAAAAAGAGTAGGTTTGCAGGCTTTATCAGCGCCTGTAACACGCCCAGCGAGTGCACGCGTCCGCTGGGCGCAAGTGTGACAGCCACGCGTGGCTGTCACAATTGAAGTAATTTTGTTATGGGTCCCACATATCTGAAATAACTCCACACCTTGCAGATGAACTCCAACCTTCTCTCTCTCTCTTGCACCTCTATCCTCCATGTTTGCACTCACATTCTTAAAATCCGTGAATAATCCACATATGTGGGTGCTCTTAGTCAATTTTGATTTATTTGATCATTATTAGCTGTTTGATTTGGTTAAACATCAATATAAGGAGGTTTTTGGTTGGATGGAAAATATTTTTCAAGAAAAATGTTTTCCTAAAAGTTAAGGAAAATATAGTTTTTTGTTGTTTGGTTCATGGAATTCATTTTCCATTGGAAAATGAATTACTTAAAGTTGAGGAAAATGAATTCTTTGCAAAGGGGTGAGATTTTGTTTTTCGCAAGGTTTGGGAAAAAAATAACATGACTGGACCATTTTACCTATTTATTCATTCATCTTTTTAGTGGCATTTTGGTCTTTATATTCATTATTCCTTACCTTTCTAAATCCAACCAAACAATGGAATTCATATTCTCAGTAATTTCTTTTCCACCAACCAAACAATGAAATCCATTTTCTTGGAATTTATTTTCCATGGAATTTCAATTCAATTTATCACTTTATTACTCCAAAATGCTAAAATTCAAAAAGCTATTTTGGATAAGCTTTTTTAGAAAGTCATTTTGCATGTAATCAGCGATCAGCTAACAGCTAATTTACCAAACATCTTTCTACAATTAGTTAATTTTATCAACTACTCAAACTCACTAACCCAATTAGGTAATAATTAACATCTATTTACCAAACACCCTCAAAGGATGAGAAATTCTCTTATGTTTATTCAAAAATTAAAATAAAAATAGTTTTTTTTTTTTTGGAGAATAAAGTAAAAATAGTTTTTATTCACTCCCTGCAATTACTACTTTGTATATTCGAAATTTACACTGCGGTGAATGTATAGTATTCGATCTATTACATAAAATTGTTCAAGAAATTAACGTCATCCTCGCCGAATAAGCTGTACGGGAGTGTAAACTCTTCCTCAACCTGGGAAGTGGGAGACATGAATCCTCCTTCGGATTCCGATGGCGAAAAACTCGCGTCAGCAAAGAGGAGATCATCCCAGAAACAGTCGAAGGTTTCTCCAAACGACTGAGATGAAGTCATCATCACGCCCTCTTCTGGGACAGTCCACCCAGTAGTGTTGCAACTTAGGTCTAGAGATTTCGAGATCGAGATCGAGCTCAAGCAGGACGATTCTTCACTTGAAGATGTTCCCTGTGAATAACGAGAGATCGCATCGTAAAATGAACTTTCATCTTCTCCGATCTTGACTTTCTGGGTAGTTTCAGATGATCCATATTCAGCAGTAGTTTCATTAATCTTCAGTTCTGATCGGATTATTTTAGGATCTTGTTTGGTCTGGAGATGTTTCTTGAGGTGAGCGTGCCAGTGGTTTTTTATTTCGTTGTCTGATCTTCCGGGCAGTTTTCCAGCAATGGCCGACCATCTGCCATGGAAACAACAATTGTTAATTGTTAATTTCAATAATTTATCAATCTTTTTTTTTTTTTTTTTTTTCTTTTGCCCCTCCCTAGAAATTTAAATTTGTTCTTACTTGTTTCCCAATTCTTTGTGCAATTTAATAATCATCTCATCTTCATCGTTGCTGAAGCTTCCTCTTTTTATTCCAGGTTTGAGGTAATTCATCCATCTCAATCTGCAACTTTTACCGCATCTCGACAAGCCTGAAAATTGCCAAAAACCCTTCATCATCAGCACTAATCACTACATAAACTCAACAAATTAAACCTTAAAACTAAACATTGTTTTTAATAATTAAGATAGCAGAGATTAAATTAAAGTACCTGCAAATTTAGGGAGTTGGCGCCAGTTCCAGTGCCCATATCTGAGAACATAAGCTCTCAGTTTATCGTCTTCTTCCTCACTCCATGCGCCTTTCTTCAATCCATTTTTGTCAACAGATGGACCTCTCACCATTTTAATTTCCCCCCTTTTTTTCTTTGGTATAATCTTATGTATGTATATCAGATCACACTTCACTTGTTTCTGAGTCTGATGTGTTTAATTAGCTTCATACTATGTTTCCCAAATCTAGGAAAGCTCAGTTATATATTTAGTCCCACCACACAAGCCGACAAAGCAACCGTACTTTAGGATAATATTTAATGATGATTAACGTTTTAATGCATGTGGTTTAAAGAGGGTCAAATGTTTGAGTTAGAAGGAGCTTCGATAGACCTTCCCTTCAAGTATCACTTCCGCGTTACTTCGATAATTCTCTAAACTCAATTAAAATTTTTTAATTATATTCTTTCATCTTATTAATATTTTGTTGCCATTCGCATTTACCCACACGTTTCTAGCTGTTCATATATATAATATATTATTATGCCATATCCAAAACGAGTGGGGAAAGTGAAAGAAATTAATAAAGAAAAAAATAGACATTTTAATAAAAAGTATTTGAAGAAAGTCTCAAAATTTTCATATTTATTTATTTATTGATTATTCATTAATTATGTAGAAAAAATTATACAATTTAATTTTTATAACATTTGATTTTGTATAATTGTATTAGTACATAACATTTATGGAAATAATGTGTGCAAGGAATATCGATATCGATCACTACCTTATGATTTTTTAAACATTTGTGTATGTAGAAATTAATTTAAAATTTAAATTGCTTTCAAAAAAAATTAATTTAAAAGTTGTATTGAATATTTAGAAAGTAGTTTAAGACAATTAAATGGGTGTGGGACTACAAAATTTTGGGACCAAAAGTTTTGTGTATATAAAATTCTCTATTAATTAAGAAACAAATAGACCGTGTCAAAAGGACAGCTGGATTATTATTATTTCGTTTTATAAGATATGAATTATTCAAATTAGCATGGTTACGTCAGCACTGTGACGTCATTTTGAGTTTGCATGTGCTACCTTACCATGATTAAGCCAAATTTCATTTGTTTTTAGCGCAATCACGCTATTAATTAAGACTGTATTAAAAAAAATATTCGTGCAAGTTGCATGCTTAGCACCTTTTAGAGTTTTAGGTCAGTATTTGATGTTTTTTTTTTTTTTTTTAATTATTTAAAACCCAACTAGCTTTAGTATATATATATTGTGTCATATATACAACTCTTAATCAAGGCTTTCAAGGAGCGGCTATTGAAATGTGCATTTTACATAAAGTGCGCTTTGTGATTCTAATTGATAAAGGATTATGTGGATGTAAATTAGTTTAGGTTGTCCATAGCTGATCGGATCGAACCAAGAAAGTCAATAAACAGCTTCAGGGAGTCGAACTATGGTTATGTCACCCTTAACGTTCTACCCAACATGAATAAGATTAGTCTTGGTGTATGATTTTAATTAATTGATCCCAAAAAAAAAAATCTTAAAAAATCAATTATAATATAATTCTCCATAATTAATTGTAAATTTTATTTAGAAATACTTCTTTTGTTTCATTTTACTCATCATGATTACTATTTATCAATTAAGTCAATTTTTGTTTTCTTTTTGTCTTTTTGTCCTAATTTTTCTTTAACATTTTTAAGCACGAGTTACACATTTTTGGTGAAGTCAAATTTCTTCAACTCTGATTTCCATCTTTTTCCATTTGAGTGGATAGATGATAAATTTAATTGGAAAAGGAAAGAGTTTGGACTATTTGGGATTTCTCTATCAGTTATGTCTATATTCATTTATATTATTTTTCTTACCAATTCAAGCTTTCTTTAGTTGAATTATCAGAATGGTCTTGACAAAAATTGAGATGACCCATATCTTTTTCAGTTCAAAGAGATCAACACAAACAAGCTTAATTTAATATTTTATATTTAATTTGTGCTTTTATGTTTTGAATAATAATTCAAAAAATTTGATATTTTTTTTTGAAAACCCGAAAATTTTGATATAACTACACTACAAATCACTTTTACTGTTAGACTGGAGTGGTTTCAAATTTGCTAAATTTTGTTATTCCAAAATCAAATATATGATATTCGTTCTAACATAAAGTTATAAACTGATACCACTTGATTGGAATACTTGACAAATATGTTATATGTTACAACACTCTTATTTAATGAATAACAAGAAATTAAATCACCTGGTTATTACACACTATATATGTTGCTTATTATTTGTGATCGTCTCGACACAACAATACTCACTAATAATTAATATATAAATTTAAATTAACTTCATAAACTCGATTGAAAAAGTTGAATTACATGCCATCCACATGGTGTCACAAAATCAATACCATGTGGCATCTTCAAAGTAAGTTGGCACAATATCGCCTCCCAGTAGTGATGTCTGTACTGGAAAGTTTTCGCCTTCAAAAAGTGTGACAGGATAACCCACATTTTTGGGGTATAATAAAGTATCTGCAACAAAGGGTTCAGTCCAGAAGCTTTCGAGAGGGTCCATAAATGATTCTAAGGAAATCGTGCTGATGTCGTCTATTATCCAGTCGGAGATTGAGCTTGAAGACGACGATGACGATATGCCGCCACCGGAAGCCGCAGATACTTCCTGGGACAGTGGAATATTATCGACAGTTTGTGAGTTTTGAGGTAATGAAACCTCGTCAGGATTAAGAATGTTAAAAATGTCTTCCTGCGGGTTGAACTCGAAATCTGAAATTTCTGAGGTTTCCGCAGTTGGCGGCAATAACTCCATTGATTCTTCTGGTTTCTGGGTTTCTTTCGCTCTCTTCTTGAGATGAGTGTGCCAGTGGTTTTTTATCTCGTTGTCACTTCTTCCAGGCAGGAGTTCAGCAATGGCAGACCACCTAAAAAAACACATTTGAGAAGTTTAAGATTACTTCAACTTTTCAAAGCATCCTTAATTTTCCCAAATTAAATAGGGGAAAGGGACGAACTTGTTTCCAAGCTTGTTGTGTAGTCCAATAATAATCTCATCTTCTTGGACGCTAAAGCCCCCCTTCTTCAACCCGGGCCTCAGGTAATTCATCCATCGCAGCCTGCAACTCTTTCCGCAGCGTGACAAACCTGAAAAAAACACAAATGATGGAATTCGAGATTACTAGGAGAGTTTCGTGTAATTTAATGAAATGAAACGAAACACAAAAGGAGGATTGTCCATTCAATCTCACCGGCAATTTTAGGCAATTGTCGCCAGTTCTTATGCCCATGGCTTTCAATGAAGGTTTTTAGTTTATTGTCTTCTTCTTTACTCCACAACCCTTTCTTGATTCCATTTTTGTCAACCGAAGGAGTCTTCACCATTTTTTCCCTCTTTTTCTTTTTCTGGGTTCGTACTTCTCTCTCTCTCTGATCCCTTTTACTTTTTTTTTTTTTTTTTTTTTCTTGAATATGTTTCATATAACTACATAGTAGATACTGTGAGTCTGGGATGGGTTTAAAGTGAACTCTTATATACCTGTAGAAACGGCGTTAACGGACTAATTAATCAAACAAACCGCGTTCCTGACAAACGATACCATCGTCTGTCAACCAAAACACAGGAGCTTATTAATTTGTACTCGGTTGTCTTTTTTCGAATATATTAAGATTCGTCGCTATCTTTTTGCGGGTACGGTCACATGGCTTTCAAAAGGTCAAGGAGAAATTCAGTTATTACCAAATATTTTGATTTTTTTGTTACAACTTTAGTTACACCTTTAACTTCTAGAGTTTGAGTCTTGTTAGAAACATTATAATTTGAATTTGAATTGAGTCTATTGTACACAAAAGCGTACAACATAGTGTACGTCGAAAATTCGGGGTGATACCTCAAGTGACAAATGAGCTTTTCTTTGTAAGGGTAGAATTTTGAAATAACCCGGATTAGATTTTCACAAATGGAATTAGTCGAGTGGACTTGGACCAACCTAACTTGATTGTGAGGATTAGATAGCACAATAAATTCTCACTTTTGGTTCTCACTTTTCATTTATTAGGACTCCATCTTCTACCCACACTAGAATTCTTCTCTTTGTATATTCTTCCTAAATTCATATTCCTAGTCTGATTAGGACTCTTTATATCTCTATAAACAGTACATTCATGTATATTGTATTATTCAAGTATTCAATAATAATTCATTCATGTAGAATTATATATTATTCTTTTAGATTTATTGTTATCAGACCTAAAAGATCCATCAATGCCAATCCAATCGTCACCGCCATCGGTGACTCACACTGCTGGAAATTATGAAATTTTCGACCACCTGAAAGTGATCTTAAATCAAGTTGAAAGCAAAAAGTGATCGGAAATAGCAACAAAGGTTTTACCGGATATCAAAAGTGGTCGGAACAAGACTTTTGACTTGATTTAAGATCACTTTCAGGTGGTCGAAAATTCTATAATTTTCAGCAGTGTCAGCGTCTCTTATACCTACCTAGCTTATATATCCTCCACTCCTACACCATCCATAAATACCCAACAGACAACCCATCACTTTGTATCCATCAAACTTATATCATCTAATTATTTATTCTAGAAGACCCAACTCATTCTGTTTCTTCGCGTGCAAGATCTCAGTTGTTACGGAAATGACATGCGCATTCTTGTGTCAAGCTTCTTTTATTAAGGCTCCGGATGGATCTTCCATGTAGTAGTGGCCAATCCTGCGATTCAAAAGTGGGTACGTCAGGATGCATCTATTTTGTCCATGTTCATCTCGTCTTATCGGATTAGGTTATGTACGTTATTGTGGGTCATACAACGTCCCAGCCCTGTGTGGTTAGCTGCCTTTGGGTCCTCTTCTTGGACACGTTCTTTGAGTCTCCTTAGTCAACTGCAGTCTTTGCGCCAGGGAGACTCCACAACGAGTGAGTATCTTGGCAAAACTAATTAAGGTTTTAATTAGATTACTTGCCGAAGCTGGCCGACCAAGGGCCTCTGACCTGAGTATCGCGCGATAGTTTCATCCTTGACTATCAAGGAACCTGTTACCATTGATCAACTCAATGATTGCCTCACTCCACATCAGTTAATCTATGCTGATGATGTCTCTTTAGCTGCTCCTCAAGTCCAGTCGTCAGTATTTGTTGCACATCAGTTATTTTCCTTCTTGAATTTTCTCTCCACACTTTCCCCTCATGATGTGACTTTCATTCATTATGTGTGTGCCACTGTATTGACTACCTCACCATTATTAATTAAAAAATAAATTTAGTTATTAACCAGATAATGTCACATCAAGGAAGGAAAGTGTGTTAGAAAAATATGTATATGAGGAGTATATAGCATTGCTCAATTCAATTTACTAATACGAGGGACATATAAGATGAGAACATACATGTGCTCAGATGCGAACATGTAGATATACACCCTATAATATGTAAAAGTACACTAAAAATATTACACTCTTTTTCCAAATATTGCATTCTATGATTGGTAAAAATAAAACTTAAGAATTAATGCACTTTATAATTTTACGTGATACATTTTTTTTTTTTTCAGATTTACATATCATATGATGCACTTTTGCATTCGTACTTGAGTGTGCATCTCACGGCCTACCTTATGCAGACTACTAATAATAATGGAAATAAAATAGGATTAAGGGGGTATAACAATTTTATTAAAACATAAGAGAACAAAGTTTTAAAAAGTATTATTGAAGCGAAGATGCAAATTGTGCTTTTCTAATGAGATAAATAGTGTTATGTAGGATTGTTAATCCAGCCAACCAAGTATGTTGCTTGTCCTGAATTACATGCAACTTGCTACTAATCCATAGGATAAAGGTATAATTAAGCAGACAATATCTGAGGAGAGTTCGTTAAATAATGCCATTACAAGTCCAATGACGTTCTTAATCAGCAGGCCGCTTTAAATCTGAATTATTTATCCATCAATTATATGAATAATCGAATAAGTAAAAATTAAAACAAGTGCCAATTTTAATATTAAGGGTCTCTAAGGATTTTTTTTTTTTTTTTTTAAACATGACTTATCTATTGAAATAGAAGTGAAATCCTTGTCAAGCACCTTGTGCTCAAATGACATGTACGGACACCTCCCATGTAAGAGGTTATGAGATCAAGTCTCAGTAGAGGCGTTGTTGACTCTGTGCGCTTTGAATTTAACTGTCTAAAACATAAAGGCAATTTATATCCTACACCACGGCGCGCGTTGCAATATGCGTCCAGATGCAAAATGACGTCGTTTTATTATTTTTTTTTTTTTTGAAATTTCCCGCCCCAATGAATGACAGTAGTTTTTTCTTAAAAAAAAAAAAAAATCCGCTGTTCAAGAATGTACATAATGTTATACTAGAATACACATAATTGTATACATTAATGTACATAATTATATAACAAAATATACATACTCTTTTTAAAAGATAATACACATAATCTAACATAATACATAATAAACATAAACTTTTAACATAATACACATCAACTATTAACATAATACACACAAATTTTCTGATTCGAATGTATATATTTGTATAAAAAGAATGTACATAATTGTATAAAAAATGTATATAACTGTATGAACCAATACACATAACAGTATGAACAAATACACATAACTGTGTGAACAAATACACATAATCCCAGCAACTTCCTACCGGGCCTCTCAAAACGACATCGTTTTGGGAGGCGCGCGGCACACAGTGCTATATGCGCCGTGGTGTAGGGTATAACGATTGAAACATAAAGGGATATGAAAGAAAACAATTAAAATTCAATCATGATTGTAATTTTATCAAAAATAGCAATCATAATTCATAAAACATTATACCCCACTATAAACTTTTATTGCCAGTTTTAACTTTATTATTAGCCTGCCTAAAAAAGTTACTATAAGCAAATATTGAATATAACTACTGTTCATTAAACGCAACTGTTTCGAACACGCTTCCCCTACTTAACACCTAATACTATATATACATTCTGAAATTTTCTACAGGGATCTGTGCAGAAATCCGGTCCCATATATATCTTCTGGGCTTAATCTTTTAGAATGGAAATTGAAAGATCAGAAAAACCATTCAACCTCTCTAGATCTCCTTCATCGTTCACACTTGCTACTTCTGTTCTTGTCTCCTGTTCACATTAAGGTCAACTATACCTGCCCACACCCCAAAAACCAGAATCATAAAGAAGAGGTCAAACGAAGGATACAATCTTGGAATCTTCATATTAAATACTGCTAAACTTTAGGTTACCTGAATATAGCCCGTTCTCTGTGTACGATAACTGAATTAACTATTTGGTTAATAATACAATTGGGACTTTAAATAATCTTGATTCCCACATATCCACACAATTATGTTCATCATCATATATGCACGGTTATGAGTATGACGCTGGAGCTAACGTAAGACACACAGTCTCACGTCACTGTCGGCCTTCTGGGCATGTGACTATAATGCTAATTAGAGGATAATTAATGTGTAATTTTTATATTACAACCTAATTAAACGCGGTATGATGAAGTTCAATTCAAGACCAAGACTGGTACTTTCAACACGTGGGAGACAGTTTAGTATATGTTTAGCAAATTAAAGGGAACATTAATAATTTTAGGATTTTAGGTTTAATTAATGAATGTGAACACAGAATTTAAGTGACAGAGAGGTGTGGTCAAGAGCACGAGGAGTTGGTCTTCACTGTGTATTATATTTGCTGAATTTATTCTCGTTAATTACCAGAAAACGCGAAACTCCCAGTTAACAATTAACATATGAATCTAAACGCGGTCTAGGTAGGCCTGAAACTTGAATAACTAATCCTATATATACTGTCCTTCAAACCACGTGTGGGTGATCAACGTTCAATGAGCGAGTGAAGTGACAGCTAAACAGTCATCTTGACCAGGTTTAGGAATCTTGACTGCTGAATAGTCAATTGGGTCACAGAGATGAAATTTGTCACAAAAGATCAAAGATCGAATCTCATCAGCGACGGTGTAAGAGGTCAAAAGGAATATAGAATGGATTATTATTTTATAACTTAGGTTAGAATGGATTATTATTTTATAACTTAGGTTTCTCAATTTTACTGACTCTATTACAATGTAGTATCTGTTCATAGCTACTTTCTTAATCTACTGAAGCACAAAGAGAGCCAATAACGTCTCCAATGAGGCTCAAACTCACAACCTTCCATATGAGAGTCTAAACCGAGTATCATCTGAGCACAAGATGCTTGGCAGTTTGACCCAAACTTAAATTCTCAATATTTCATGACAGGAAATCTGAAATCAGACCCTTTCTTTGTCGTTAGATGCTTTAATTATTTGAGATGTGTGGTAGGTTTAATTGGTTCCTATATATTGGCACGAGAGTATTTAGAGTGTTTGGTCCCTCAAGAGTCAAAAACGTAGGGCTACATGAATAGGATGTTTGACGTACGTC